GCCCCTGCGGAGGCGACATGCAGTGCAAGCATGTCTGAGTCCGACCGACCCAGCGTTGCCACTGACGTCCTCCAACTCTCTGGCAGGTGGTAACGGGGGGTGGCCCAAAATGGGGGGGGGAAAGGACCCTCAATGGGGCCCCTTTTGGGGCCACCTGGTGCCCAACAGGATCCCCGAAGGGCCCCATGTATTGTCTTGTTCTTCACCCCCCATTTGGGTCACCCCCCATTTCCACTCGCCCGAAACCCCTCGGTGTTTTTCTGACCCGGGTCAATCCAGACCCAGGTCAGCATGAAACCAGAAAAAACTGCAATGCAAGACATTAAAACTGCAACGCAGGTCGTCTCAAACCCGGGTCGGCCAATATGCGCGGCCGCCTCGCGGCCGCGAGCGGCTCGGTGAACCCGGGTCAGCCAGAGGAGGTCTCCGCAGGGATCCTGCAGGACTCGGTGCCCTGGCTGACCCCCGTTTGCACTGACCCCCGTCCCTTGAGCCCCGAGCCCGAAAGAGCACGAGGCCCTCCGCCAGCCGGAGCACGCAGAACGTCCAGGGGCAGCCCTCCCCAGGAGGCACGAGAACACCCAGCAGGCACGCAGAACACCGAGGTACCCTCCCCGAGCCGACCTCGATCCTTAGACGAAGCAAACTGCACATTTCGGGCGTTGGCAGAACTGCGTTTAGTGGAACCTGGTTTAGTGATGTGTACCGGGGGGCGCCCCCCCCGCCCCGTTCCGCTAAGCGGAACTGCCGTCACCCGAAAAACACCAGGTACGGCAAACCTGGTTTAGTGAATCTGGCCACTTGAGGGGCCCTACCACTAACCGGGTCCCCTTACCCGGGGTCCTGGCGATACCCGAACATTGACCCCAGCGCGAACGTTTGGGGGCCGCGGGGGACCAAACACAAGCACACAAGACGCTACTACCGCAGCACGCTCGGCGATCGGGGGGCCCCTGTGGGCCCGCACCAAAGGTCACCCCGGCGAAGGGTCACTCTTACGTGCAGTCGTCTCTTGAGCCCCGAGACCCCAGCGCGAACTCCACCTCCGGTCCTCCGCTCTCCTGCCGTCGGGCGCCGCCCGAAGTGCAGCCTCGGCCCACGGGGCGCCACCGGCGACCTCCCGAGGAGAGCCCGCCACGGCCCGGCGAGAGCACTGCTGCCGAGGCCCAGGCGCCCAAGCGCACAGCACGGAGCACCAAGAGACTGCTTCGATGACTGCCAAAGGCCTTGCGGCCGGTGTTCCGCCGATCCTGAGCGCCAGGAAGACTCGGAGGAGGAGTGGAAGAGGAGGAGGAGGAGGACGAGGAGGAGGAGGAGGACGAGGAGGAAAGGAGGAGGACGAGGAGGAAAGGAGGAGGAGTACTATGCACATGCACCTTCTCCTCGCCAGGCTCATCCTCGGGCCAGGGTCTGTGCACACGCCATCGTGACCTGGCCAGGGAGGCATACACACACACACACACATCTCATGGACCCAGGATGGCCCTGGCCAGGACCTGTGTGTATAGCTCTCCTCGCCCGACAAAAGGATGAGGAGGAGGAGGAGGAGGAGGAGGAGCAGCAGCAGGAGGATGGGCGAGGGGAGCGGGGCAGCGGGGGAAGACTCGTCGGCGAACGAGGTGGGGAAATGAGAAGGAAAAGGCCTTCTCAGAAGGCTCGGAAGTCCATCAGCCTTCTGAGAAATTGTCTAAACCTTCCCCGAAGACACCGAAAACTTCTGAAGGCGCGAGGGCGTCCGAAAAGTCTCGCCACCCTCTGAGGAGGCCTTCTTACCCATTTCCCCTCTCGCTCGCTCCTCCTCGACCAGCAGCAGGAGGAAGGGGACAAAGAAACGAAAATGAGAAGGAAAAGGAGAAGAAGAGAGAAAAAAAAGACAGAAAAGAAGAGAAAAAGAGGAGGAAAGGACAGAGAGAGAGAGAGAGAGAGCAGGAGGGAGGAGGAGGAGGGAGGAGGAGGAGGAGGAGAGAGGAGGAGGAGGAGGAGGAGCAGGAGGAGAGGAGGGGGAGAGGAGGAGAGGAGGAGGTCAAGGAAGATGAATGCTGATGATGATGATGATGATGATGATGATTGGAGGAGGAGGGAGGAGATGAAGATAGGAGGAGGAGGATAAGGGAGGAGGAGGAGGAGGAGGGGGAGGAGGAGGAGGAGGAGGGAGGAGGGGGGGGAAGAGGAGGGGGGAGGGGGAGGAGGAGGAGGAGGACGAGGAAGAGGAGGAGGACGGGTCGCCTAAGCGCTTCGGGGAAGCCCTCCAGGACAGGGGGAGCAGAGAGGTGGTCCTGTGCTACTTCCGCGCCGCATCCGCCGCGGGCCCATGCAAAACGGCAGCGCTGGGGCGGGGTGGGCCTGCAACTAACTCGGGCCTGTCCCCATCCAGGCGGATTCTGGACGAAAAATAAAAACTCAAACAAACACCCCAAAAATGCTCAAAGCTAATCGAAAAAAATCGACCCCGGTCCACTGTTTGATTATGATTGAATTTTCTTCCTGTAGAGGGACAGGCCCGACGTAAGCCTGCGACTCGCTAACCTGCGCCAGAGCCTGACTGAGAGCACTGGCGCGCCCTGCGCCCAGCGGTGCACAACCAGCCTCGAACGCAACCCTCTCCCTGGGATGGGCGACCAAAAAGCGATGACAATCTTACGGATGTGCCCTCAGAGACTAAGGGAATCCTGAAGATCGGCATCGAGGCGGGGTGATGCCAAACACAAGGGTAGGGATATGCGTAAGGGGCCCAAGGACACACAAAACACACACACACACACACACAAACACACGCACGCACGCACACGCACACACACACACACACACACACACACACACACACACACACACACACATAACGGGATTCCCCATGTTTTCCCACTTATGCGTTTTATTCTCGTCTTCCCCCCACTACCCAGATGTTCCCATACTTTCCTGGGGATCGACGACTCCCTGTGTCTGTGTGTTGTCCCCCATCACGATATGCTTCGACCTGGTAAGCGGGGGGGGAGGACGGGCAGCGCCCCCGAAACGTACGATCATTACCGCTCCCTCCGCGGAGGGGGGCGGGTAACGATTAAGCCGGGCCTGTCCCCCTACAGGTGGATGTTGGGCGAATCAGAGGCAGCAGCGTGGAATGGGGATTCCCCGCTGCAATGTCCCGGCGGAAAACCGCGGGTCACGCCCGGAGGCCGCGAGGAGGACATCCACTTTTACGCCCATATCCTCCTTGACGTCCACCACCTCATCCTCCTCCGTCCTCCGCAACAAGCACCTGCTCGTGCACCTTCTCGGGCGAAAAATGAGAAATACGCCAAAAAGTACCCCAACATTGTCAAACATACTCAAAAATCGTCCCCACGTTATTTGTTCACTATTTTGGGATCTTCCTCCTGTAGAGAGACACGCCCGACCTAAGGCAACGATCGTTACGCGCCAGAGGATGAACAAAAAGCAGTGCTCAAGAGGCCCTGGCACTAACCGAACGCCGGGCGTGCTTCAGGCCAGCCTTAGGGGAACAACAAGTGGCATAAACATTACAAAAAACTCTGAGGTCCGCGCGGATTTTTCGGATCGGCGCTGGGGCCCCCCAGCGGCGCCTCCGGCGCCGCCCCCGGCACGCTCCGCGCGCCAGGCAGGGGGGTCAAGCGCCGATCCGAGAAATCCGCGCGGACCTCCGAGTTGTTATGTTTACAATCAAAAACCCTAACCAGGACGCGCGGTAAGGACGCAAGACCCTTGGAAACCGAAGTTGGGATTTTTTGGGCGGCGGACGACGAAAACCTCTAGGACGCGAGAGCAAGGAAGAGCAAGGACGCAAGGGTACCCTGAGCAAAGTCGCGCGTTCTTATTAGGGCTTTTGACTGTATGCCACTTCTTGGTCCCCTAAGCCTCTCCGCTCCCCGCGCGGCGCCCCTGGCGGTCACCCCCTGGCAGGCTTGGCCGCCAGGCCCCGCAGCTCTCGGACCTCTGGCGGCCGCTCGGGGCGAGCTCCCGGCAGACCCCCGGAGCGCCCCTGGCGAGGCGCAGCCGCTGGCACGCATCCCAAGGCTTCAGTCGGGCGTGTCCCCCTACAGGGGGGAGCTTCGACGAAGAACAAAAAGACCCCCCAAACAATTCTCCCAAATGGCAAACAAATGCTCAAAAAAATACTCCCTCGACTATGTGTTTTACTATTTTTGAGCATTCCCCCTTTAGAGCCAAAAAAAACGACAAACAACGCCCGAAAACCGAGCTTGGATCGGGGAAGGTGCCCTCCCCTGAGCGCGGCCAGTGCCGCCTCGCTCGGCGGCGGAAAGTCCGCGAGCTCCCGCGGAAACGGGACCCGTCGCTGATCCACGCCTCCGTGACCCATGTTTGCGATCGCCTGATATCGGGGGGAATGGCAGGGTTAGATAGCAAAGGGTAGGGTAGCGAATCAGCTCACGTAGCGGATTTTCCCAGGGAGGCGCCCACGTATCGAGGAATGGGCCCGGAGGCGGGGCCGAAACCAGCTGCATGCAGCAGATTCCGTAGCCCCCCTTTCTCTATCTGCCCCTGTCTCGGGGGCGGCCAAGAGGGGGGCGTCCAAGAGGGGGTGGCGCAAATCACTGCCGGCGGCACGCGCGGTCCAGGGGGGGGGCCAGGGACGTAACCTAATGAGAAGGGGCGCCATGAAGTCTGAGGACACATCATGGCCCACGCCATGAGATCCCCCCCTCCTGGTCATCATCCCCCTCTTGGCCGCCCCCCCGTGCCCCGTACCGGTAGGCCGGGGCGCCGGCGCCCCCGTCGGACTGAGCCCTGTGGGCCGCCGCCGCAGCCCTCCTCCCCGTCCAGGGCTCTCCTCTTCCCTCCCTCCCTCCCCTCCCCTCCTCCCCTCCTCCTCTTCCCTCCCTCCCTCCCCTCCCCTCCTCCCCTCCTCCCTTCCCTCCTCCCTCCCTCCCTGCCCTCCTCCCTCCCGCCCTCCTCGTTCGGCCCGACGATGACAGAATCCCCACGTCGCCCGCTCCCCCGCCCGCCCCCCGCGCGGAGGGCGCCGTCGGCCCCAGCGCCAGCGCCAGCCTCCGCCGCAGCGGCGCCTCCGCCCCCGCGCCCGCCGCGGCCTCGCGGGGCGCCCGCCGAGGGGAGGCCGCGCGCGCACGCCGCGCGCCGCCGCTGGCGCGGGCCGCTGCCTTTCTCTTCGTGCCTTCGGCCTCGGGGGGGGGGGGGGGGCGTCGCCGGGCCCCGGGACCGCAACCAAAAAAGCCTCGTCGGGCCGTGCTGCTCCCACCGCACTCCAGGGCTACAGCCCGGAAGTGATTGTCCTTCGTGTCTTCCGTGGGGGCGTCGCCGGGCCCCGGGACCGCAGCCGGAACGCCTCGGGCCATGCTGCTCCCATCGCACTCAAGGGCTACATCCCAGAATGAAATGATTGACCTTCGTGTTTTCGGCCTGGGGGGGGCCGTCGCCGGGCCCCAGGGCCGCAACCGACACGCCTCAGGCCATGTTGCTCCCATCGCACCTAAGGACTAGACATCCCAGAAGTCATGTCGAGCACCCAGAAAAATAGCGAGACGGTGTCGAACGAGCATCGCGGCCCAGGACCCGACACGTGAAAACCCTCCAGCTTGGGTACCTTCTTGGTGCTCGATGTTCTTTCTGGTGATAAAGGCTCAAGAATCACTGCACCGACCTTGCAGACCCGGAACGAAAACCTCCAGGACAATCTGGGCCCATCCCATAATTCTCCGAACGAGATCCGTTCTGCAAAGCTGGCACCATGAAAAGTAGGTTGGAACATCATACAGTGCTGTCGCGGCCGCAAGAGACCCTCGCAAGAAACCAAACCCTGAAAACTCGCGCGCGAGGTGCACCTAAGCTAAGGGCACCCTGAACGCAGCAGCTTCTTCGGCGGCTGCGGAAAGTCACCGCGCAGCGCGCGGAGCGAAGACACCCTCCTCCTCTTCCTCCTCCTCCTCCTCCTCCTCCTCCTCCTCCTCCTCCTCCTAATCCTCCTCATCCTCCTCCTCCTACACAGGAGCGGATACCCTGACGAAAAGCACCATGGTCTCTTGATGCGCGCCCCCACTGTAAGCCCCAGGGCCCGGAGCCGGGCATGGGGGAAGGGTCGGTACGTCCAGGGCCCCTGCGGGAGCAGAAAAAAACAGGAGGGTCCATGGGGCTCGAGGCTCGAGGTGCGAGGCTCGAGGGCTCCAAGGTCTCCCGTCGTACTTGAGGGCCACATCCCAGAAACAGTTTCGAGAACCCAGAAGAAGTATCGAAACAATGTCGAACGAGTATGGCCCCCCAGGGCCCAGCACGTGAAGACCCTGCAGTTCTGGTGATCGAGGCTACAATGGGTTGGAAAATCCTACGGCTCGGGGCGCGAGGATCCCCGACCGAGGCGTTCGAGGTTCTCGAGCCCGAGGCGGGGGCCTCGCAGCAGATCGGAGCTCGAGTCGTCTCGGGGATCCCCAGCGTGGAAATCGACGCCCCGGAAAGCAGAGCGGATCTGCCTGCCGCTAGAGACAGATCTTCCCGCCACCGGGAACGCTCCTCCTGCCACTGGAGACGCTCGTCCTGCCACTGGAGACCCCGCCACTGGGAGCGCTCTTCCTGCCAAGAGAGACGCCCTTCCTCTTCCTGCCACTCGAGACAGATCTTCCTGCCACTAGAGCGCCGTCTTGCTGCAGAACCAGCGGGAAAGCTGCGGGCCGCGCGCATGCAGCGAGCGCCCCCCCCCCCCCCCCCCCCGCGAGCTACCGCTTGCAACCAGAAAAGGGGCTCTGACACCCAAGGGACCCCGAGGATCCCCGACCCGACGCGAGGTTCACGGATCGAGGCTCTGGTGGGAGGCGTCTGTCGCTGGGCGCGAGCTCACTGAGGGGGGGCGATTCGGAGGGGGGAGAGAGAGAGAGAGAGAGAAACAAAAAAAAAAAAAAAGAGAAAGAGAGAGAGAGAGAGAGGTGCCTCGGAGAGCTCGTCCGCTGGCCGTCTTGGGCGGCCCTGGGGGCACTCACACCCACATGGAGGAGAAGGAGCAGGAGGAGGAGGAGGCTAGGACGCAACAAGCACCGTTCTTCATGTATGATAAACGCTTTGTTTTTATGTTTTTTTTTGGAAAAAAAACAAAAAAAAAAAAAAAAAAAAA